GAACTTTGTCGAGCTCCTTGGGGACTTGAACGACTTCTTTTTGACGAGTTTACCCGTTGCCATTCTGGTTGCGTTGTTTCACCAAATCTTTTTGTATAAATGGAAGTGTTTATTGGCGTGCTTTTGACGCTACTTACCGATTAAGTGTCGCTTTCTTCGTCACCAGTGTATTTCCACATTTTTTTTTGGCTGGAATTGGTGTTGTTTGCGTTTTTTGATGAGAAGCTCATTGGATTATTAATTAATTTTATTTTATTAGCTATGGCAATTTCACTAGCTATTTTTGATATATTTCCTTCAGTAATTTCTTTATGTAAAGGTTTGGTTGTGGATTGTTCATTTATTTTAACGTCCTCTGTACTTAGCATTATATAGCCATTTAGACCATTTTCACTAATTTGAGAATGCCGTCGTATAACTTTTTCGCTCATATAATAGTTTTCAATATATTAGCAGTTTGTTCATTTAATTATTAAAAAATTTAATATATATAATTAATAAAATTTATTTTTTTAAAAACACCTAAAACTTATACTGTGGCAACACCACATTTACAATTTTAAACTTTCGTTAACTTTCATATGCTGTCTCTATCAGCTGTTATGAGCAAACTCAATTTTTGTTTTTGTTTATTTTGCAAAAGTAAGAAATTAATTTTGTTAGAAAGAAATTTTTAAATTACAAAAAACTGAAATTTAGCGTTTAATATCGGGCACCGTTTTTAATAATTTTGTTTTATTTATAATCTTAGCTCGATTGTTCATACATTGAAATTTAAAATTAGCTTTTTTCCGATTAAAAAACAAAACAATTAAAAGAAGTTGCGGAGTGATCACCTTGCGCGCCAAAAATTGAATGATAATAATAAATACTTGTTTTAATAATATCTAAATAAAATAATAAGAAGATATTACAATCGCGGACCATGTTTACATTAAGACCGAAAAGTTTTCGGAAATTCTCATTTAAAATTCGCGCGCTGTATATTTTTCGATATTTTAAGTTTATGTAGTTTGGCAGCACTGTCCTTAATTACTATGCCAAAAATGAGCGCGATCTGTCAGACAGTTCGTTTACGGCAGCTGTTGAAACCAGTTCACCTCAGTAGGGCGTTGCGAAAAAAACAATGGAAAAAAATATTGAACAAAGAGTTTGCATCAAATTTTGTGTTTCGAACGAAATTTCGTGTGCAGAATCGTTGCGAATGCTACAAAAGGCTTATGGGGAATCAGTTTTATCGAAAACTCAAGTTTATGAGTGGTACAAAGCCTTCCAGGACGGTCGTACGACCGTCGAAGACATTTCGCAACGCACTACTGAGGTGAACTGGTTTCAACAGCTGCCGTAAACGAACTGTCTGACAGATCGAGCTCATTTTTGGCATAGTAATTAAGGACAGTGCTGCCAAACTACATAAACTTAAAATATCGAAAAATATACAGCGCGCGAATTTTAAATGAGAATTTCCGAAAACTTTTCAGTCTTAATGTATCTTCTCATTCAACATACGGTACTGGTACCACAACCTAATTTCACCGGTTTGCTGCTTCATCACCACGGACCAACTGTGCATCACGGACCACGTTTACCTTCTTATTCAATAAACGGTACTGGTACCGCTACCTAGTTTCACTTGTTCGCTGCTTCACCACCACAAGTGCCCCAAAGCTGCAACGGTGCTTTACGGACCACGTTTATTATTTAAATAAACGGCACTGGTACCGTTACAATTTCATCAGTTTGCTGTTTCACCAACATCGCTGCTCATTCAAATTCTCCAATCAATGGACTGCTTAAAAATTTTTCTTCATTATAGCCTTCTAACAGCACTACCATCTCCACTCTCTCTTTTTTTTTACAAAAAAGTAAATTGATGTCAAGTGTATTGCATTATATTAATAAAAAATAAAATATACATTATTTACATTATATTGAATTATATTAACAACAAATAAAATATATATCATTCACATTATATTGCATTATATTAACGACAAATAAAATATACATTAATTACATCATATCAACATCGACTTCTTAAACACAATACAGCTAAACGTGAAGCACGTCGATTTACTCAGTACAAAATTCCTTCCTCTTTTGCGATTATTAATTTCTTGCAATGCCTACTAAAAAGCGATCACAGTCTTTGCAATCTCCAAAGGGGGTAGATACCTTGATCCATAATCGAGAAGCAGTAGTTGCTGACATTTTACGATTAAAGGCAAATTTACTAAAAGGTGATGTTGCAAAAAGTCCTAGTGAGCTAGAGTGTAGATTGGAAATACTTGACTCATACATTGACAAAGCGATGCAGTACCAGAACAAAATATTTGACCTGGATCTTACTGACGATTATAAGGCGGTTTTAGAAGATATCTGTGTTTGAACAAAATCCCTGTTTTTACAAAAGTTGAAAAAACATCGCATTGTTAGCGCCCCTGCAATCTCGCATCACTGTGGTCGACCAAAATCGAAGTTGCCAAGCATGCCATTACCAAAGTTTAGTGGCAAATACTGCGATTATAAAAATTTCATTAGTTTGTTTGAAAGCCTTGTTCATAGTAATGAAACTCTTACGGACATTGAAAAATTCAACCATTTACTGTCATGCTTGTCAGAGGAAGCTCTTGGTACTGTGAAGGCCTTCCAAGTCACTGAGAGGAATTATCCAAAAGCGTTAGCCAGTCTAAGGAACGTGTACGACAACAATTGTCTCATTTTTTCCGACAACATTAGTAAGCTTTTCGATCTCTCAGTAATTCATAAACCGTCTGCTGCATTTTTACGCACTACAATCGAAACTGTGTCTGCTATCTATGATTCCCTTCTTTCAATAGGAGATGATAAGAATATCACTAATGCAATTCTTATTCATTTAGTCATGCAAAAGATAGATTTAGTCACAAAATCAAAATGGGAAGAACAGCTGGTTTACAACTCTTTGCTATTATGGAGTGACTGTGAAGCAGCGCTTAATAAAAGGTTCCAACATCTATCAGCGGACTAGACCTCTTCTGCAAAGTACAAAAAATCAGTGCCAGAGTGTGAACAAAAACACAGTGTTAAACGGGACAAACGCAACTTTAAGTCCTCTTTTGTCTGCAACAAGCTGAATCAATCCAATGATGCCAAATGCTTATATTGTATGTCTAATAGCCACATGATAACGAAGTGTACAGCATTTGGTGAATTGCCTGTGTCACAACGGTTCGACGCAGTCAAGGCAATTCCAGCATGCATAAACTGTTTAAAAAAAGGGCATTCTGTTTCAGAATGTAAATCATCACGCTGCTGAGTGTGTGCTGGACAACATCACACACTACTGCACAAATACACTCCAATCATCACGCAACTGTAAGTTCTGATTCCGATCGCGCATTTGTAAATCATAGTGCTACTAATTGCGACCAGGTAATTTTAGCGACAGCACTAGTTACTGTAAAGAGTAAGTCTGGAAAGTACCGAACAGCCAGAGCCTTACTTAACTACGGTTCTCAAAAAAATTTCATGGGCGAGGAACTTGCACAACCGTTGCAGTTAAGAAAGGAAGATGGATGCCTTAATTTAATTGGAATTGGTAAGATAAATACCACAGTAAAGCATAAGTTACATGCTACTGTGAGATCGCGAGTCAATTCTTATGAATTCTCAACCGATTTTTGGGTATTGTGAACAATATCTTCTTGGTGCTGAAACGTTTTTCGAACTTCAATCAGTCAAATAAAATAAAGTCCACGCTGCAGAAAACATTACTCGGCTGGACTGTGTCTGAAAAATATCAAAGCAATAGGAATATTGAATCCCATGCTAATGCCTTAACTGTTTCACAAGATGATGACACTGTAGTCAGTTCATTGTTGCAAAAATTTTGGGAACTTGAAGAATTTCCCAATAGTGCAAAAACCGCCACGCTCACACCTGAGCACAAACTCTGCGAGGATAAATTCTTGTCATTAGTGCAACGCTTACCATCAGGGCGATTCAAAGTTTCACTTCCTTTCAAGTCTGATTCCGGCAACCTTGGGCTGTCATTTGAGACAGCTAAGCGTCGTTTCTTGTAGCTAGAGCGCAGACTGTATAAAGATGTTGCTCTGCATGATTTATATATGGACTTTATGAAAGAATATGTAAATCTAGGTCAAATGACTTTATCAACTCGTAACTTCTCTGTATCTCCCCACTACTTCATACCACATCAGTGCGTATTAAGACCACAAAGTACATCAACAAAACATTGTGTAGTCTTCGATGCTTCTTCGAGAACATCAACTCAACTGTCATTAAACGATATATTACTGGTGGGTCCGACGATACCAGAAGAATTATACACAACGTTACTCCGTTTTCGTGTGCATAAATATGCTTTAACTGCTGACATTACTAAAATGTACCATTAAGTTTTGATTGACGAGGCAGATCGCGACTTTCAACTCATTCTGTGGAGGGAAAATCCAAACGAAGAATTGAAGACTTACCAATTGAACACTGTAACATACGGAAAATCGTCTGCACCATTTTTAGCAACTCGATGTTTACGCCATCTAAGTGATCTTAATAAATCAACGCTTCCAATTGGTTCTAATGTTGTTCGAATCGATTTCTATGTTGATGACTTGCTGACATGTGTAGATTCATTTAATGAACTCGAAATAATTCGAAGGTAAGTCACAAATTCTGGCCACAGCTGGGTTCCAGTTAGCTAAATGGTTCTCAAATCACTCCACCTATCAGGACAATAAACAGCTGTAAAAATCATAGAATATAACCAATATTGATGCAACGAAAGCACTAGGCATACAGTGGCATACCACAAAGGATGTATTTAGGTTCCAGTTGGACGACACTTACCTAAATTAGCGTGCAAAAAAAGAAATATCGTATCGATATCAGCTCGTCTATTCGACCCCCTTGGCTTATTGTGCCCAAATGTTGTGAAAGCCAAGATTTTATTGCAAGAATTGTGGTTACAAAAACTCGACTGGGACAAATCCATACCCATGCGTCTTGACACTGCTTGGCAGGCTTTTAAGAATGATTTGAAACAACTAAATTTAATTTCAATTCCTTGTTATGTTAATTTGCATTTTAATGTTAAATGCCAAATTCAAATGCATGAGATGTCAAATGCTTTCAAGTGTGAGTTGCTTACTGCTAAATCAAAAGTTGCTCCACTGAAAATAAAATCTTTACCTCGGTTAGAGTTATGCGCTGCACATTTGCTTGCCAAATTGTGGAATAAAATCCGTTTAATTTTCCATCACAACATCGACGAGGTAACTTTTTGGACCGATTCATCAATCACACTACATTGGATCAAAACGCATCCGTCCACACTTTTAACATTCGTGGCGAACAGGGTTTCAGAGATACAAGAATGGTCAACTAATATAACGTGGCGACAAGTGCAGTCACAGCACAATTCAGCTGACATAGTATCCAGAGGATGTAACGTTACTGAACTAGTCAGTTCAATTTGGCAAACTGGCCCTGAATACCTGTCACAAGATGTTGCCAAGTGGCCAATTAAAATAGCGCCAATACTGACTTTGGAGCAAGAATCTCTAGAAACAAGAGCTGTGGTTATCGTATCGGAAGAACCCTCAAACGCAATTTTGAAACTGGTCGCTGCTCAGTCATCATACATGAAGCTCATGCGAATTGTTGCTTATTCCGATTCATAAACCGTGCTAGGAAATGTCAAGAAGAGATATCACTAATCCCAAGTGTCAAAGAATTAAATAGCGCTTTCTTAAAGGTCATAGAACAGGTTCAGAAAGATGCATTTCAAGCCGAGATATATACACTGATAAAGAAAAAGCTGTTAAAACCAAGCATGCAGAAACTTACTTCATTCCTGCACGATACAAATTGTGGCCCCAATAAAGTAACACTGCTACGCGTGGGAGGCCGGTTGCTCAATACCCCAATTAGCTATGATTCCAAGATTCCACTTCTCATGCCAAAAAATTGCCATTTTATTAATATCTACTTAAGGCATCTACACTTAAACAATTGTCATGCCGGTCCCAACGCGTTTTGCGGCAAAAGGTCTGATTTGTTAACGCGAAAGCAGCTTGCAGTAAAACTGTAAGAATTTGCATACATTGCTTTCGCTATAAACCAAAACTTCTGACTCAAATAATGGGATATTTGCCAATTGATCGAATCACAGCAACGCGTCTTTTTTTAATTTCAGGTGTTGATTTTTGTGGTCCCATGTATACAACATTAAAAATACGTGGTCGACCACCAGTCAAAACATAACATATATTGTACTTTTCGTTTGCTTCACGTCTAAAGCTGTACATTTTGAGCAAGTCTCTGATTTAACTTCTAATTGTTTTATTCTTTGTCTTAAAAGGTTCGTGGGACGGAGAGGACTGCCAGAGCGAATTTATTGCGACAACGCCATGAATTTCGTGGGAGCCTGCCGAGAGGTGAAAGAGCTGCAACAAATGTTCAAAATACAGAAAGACGAGCTGGTATCATATGCTGCACAAGAGGGAATCGAGGTTGCCTTCATACCTCCTCGCGCACCACATTTCGGAGGATTGTGGAAAGCCGCCGCCAGTCCGCGAAACATCTATCCGCGATTCTGGCGGGCCTGGTCCTATATCCTCAACTTGCAAACAAAAACCAAATGGATCTTGGATCAGCCGAACGTAGCAGTTGGCCGTCTCGTCGTTGTCCACGAAGACAATCTTCCCCCTCACCGATGGTTCATCGGCAGGGTCCAAGATACGGTAGTCGGGATCGACGGCAAGGTGCGAGTGGCAGACGTTAGAACGAAAAATGAAGTCATAAGAAGGCCAATTCACAAATTGGGGTTGCTTCCAACTAGAACACCTTATGGTGCTTCAACGTGGCCGGTATTAAGACATTTACCAATTTATTTATTTTGATTTATTTGTATATTTTGAACTAATGTTAAATACTAATCTCTATTCATTCACTCTATTCATATTTATTTATTTTGATTTATTTGCATATTTTGAACTAATGCTAAATACTAATCTCTATTCACCACTAGCGCACTTCAACCGATAAAAACTCATCTTAAAAGAACTACATGACAACGCTTGCCTCACCTTTTTTGAAATACAATTGTGCAATGCACTTTTGCTCTTTGATTTTTTCTTCTGCTTTTACTCGCGAACAAAGTCGCTTCGGTTGGTTGAAGTGCGCAAGTGGCAATTAAAATTAGTGAATTTTTTTTTAATAAAACAGAAATAGTGAAATAATAGATCCCGTTTTGTTTTATTTAAAGTAACAAAACTTTAAAAACTATTAAAGTTTCTTCAGGCATCAATAGCACTTCCAAAGTTCTTGTGAGAAATTACAGTATTAACATAGCCGGAAAATGGATGCGCTATAATGCAAACAGGACTCTTACTTTTAAAGAACAACCAGCAATCGGTGAATTAAAACACATATACGGTAATGTCTTCGTAGAAACTAGCATGACCTTTGCAGTTTTACTCAACAATATTAAGATTTCAAAAAACCATTAGCCAAAAATAAAATAGCTTGCACAAATCAAAATGAACAAGCAACCACTGACCACACCCAAGTAATCGACTTACAGTTAAAACTACTGTCATATAGTATTGCAGGCATTACAAATAAATTAATATAAGTTAACCAGTGTTGACCATGCGTCAGCATTAATATGAAACTACGATGTCAGTGATCCACTCCATGTGCACAATTAAAATTGTCGCTTTAATGCAGCAACGATTTACGCAATATCAAATTTCATTGCAGTGCAAAGAACTTAAAGCAAGCGCGTGTTGACATTGTTATTGTATTTAATCAATAACTAGAAATTAGTTTATAGAATAAACAAAATAATTTGTAAGGGCAACTGTCATTGCTATAATAAATAAAAATTACATTTAATTAAAATATTGTAAAATAAGCAAAATAATTTGTAAGTGCAGCGCGCAAGCAAATATTAATATAATATTCAATAAAGAAATTTAGATGTAATTCTCAAATATTAATATAATATTCAATAAAGAAACTTAGATGTAATTCTCAACCGAAAGAATTACGAATCGAAGACAAATAACTGGCGCCCAACGTAATATTAAGGCAACAATAAAAAAAAAACATAAAGTGAATAAAAAAACTAAATAGAAATAGAACGCAATAAAATAAAAAAAAAATAAAACATTAAGTAAATTAAAATAAAAACTAAAACTAATTAATAACTAAGTAAGAATTTAGCGCAAAATAGTGCGCAACAATAAAAAAATTATTGAAGCGAAACATTAAGTGAAAGAAGCTTGCACTCACGCCGAGCGTAGCCATCGTGGGATCAACTTACTCACTGTGAAGAACAATAAAATTAAACTGAGATGAACAACGCAAATTGATTTGAACTAATGTAAGCTTATTTGTATTTCTGATAAGTACTAATACTAAGAAAAATAAATTATAAAAATAATAATAAAATAGATATTAGAATATTAAAATTTTGTAAAATAACGTTACATTTCATTTAAATTTTGTAAAATAGTGCACGTGTTAACGTAATATTTAATACTAATTGATTTTTTGAAAATATTTGTTAAATAAAATAAATAACATGGATAACAGCACTTGGAACCGCACAGGAGTTAGAACAATGACATCAAAGGTACGATTTTGCAAATGCGTTTGCTGTTGCGAAAAATGTTAGAGTTAGGAATTTTCGGGAAGTGGCTCAGCGTAGCCCAAACCCCAACTATCAGAAAAATTATTGGCCTAACAGACAAATTAATTCTCGATATAATGAATCTCAGGCAGGTAACATACCAACGCCTATGGAGGTGGACCCTGGTACTGCCTTTTTTAGACGGCCAAATATGACACAACCACAAATAAATTACGCAGGCAATAACATACTGAAACGGCATTATGAGGGTAATAACTCAAATCGTTCACCAGTCCAAAAATTACAGAAAATTAATGCTATGGCACATCAGCAGAATTCTGCTCATGTAGATTACCACCCTTATTGTGAATTTTCAGATGATTTCCATTTATCGCGCGACGAAATCCAGATGGATAGGAGCTTCGCATAATGATTGACACGGGAACTTCGAAAAATTGTCTTAAAAACCACAATTTCCTAAAGGGTATTAGGCTTCTTGATTTCCGTTCCTTGTTAAATCTATCAATGGAACAAATAAGATTACTAAACATTGCGAGATAAATATTTTTGGCAAAACCACAATTTTTTATATATTACCAGCCCTAAGTAGTTTTGGACGAAATCATTGGCTATGATTTCCTCAAAGGAATAGAAGGAAAAATCGACACAAAAAATGGTGCTTTTTTCCACAAAAAAGGAAAAGATATACTTAACCATTTAACGTGCGAACAAGTAAATTCAACTACAGATAAACAAAATTCCTTTCCCAATCAATTGATACCCGCATTAGACGATATAATTGCAAATAATAATAATGCTTTTGTAAACCCTAATTGGACTTTGCCTTATAATACAAATTAAGGCAACAATTAAATTGCTTACTGATGATCCTATTTATACCAGGAGTTATCCATATCCCATATCAGCCGCTGAATTTATAAAAAAAGAAATTAAATCCTTATTAGAAGATGGCATAATTCAGAAGTCATGTTCTCCATATAACTCACCTATTCATGTTGTTAGCAAAAAAGGTCTCAATAATGATGGCAAGCAAAAAGAAAGAATGGTGATTGATTTCAGAAAACGTAATAAAAAACTATATCGGAAAGATACCTGATACCAGGCACCTCAGTTATACTCGCGAACTTAGGGAAATCTGTTGAGTTTAAAAAAGTTTATTAAACTAAAAATAAATACAAAGAGAAATAGTTACAGTAGTTGAACTATAAAAGAGGGATTACCAATATAATTAAAATAAACATTACATTTTTCAATACTCCCACTTTTTAGTTTCATTAGGATACTTGAGAGATGTTTTAAACCAATCTGATTTTTAAAAAGTACAAATTTTTCTTTCGGAAGTGCTTTAGTAAGCCCGTCTGCAAGCTGATCACCAGATGCCACATATTTTAATTCGAAAGCCTTTTCATTGTATGCATTTCTAATGAAATGATAACGAACATCAATGTGTTTTGTCCTTTTGTGAAATTCAGGATTTTTTACTAGACGAACTTTGGTTATCAATGTAGAACTCTATCTGCCCAGGATTCCCAAGATCAGACCAAAAACGCTTGATCCAAATTAATTCCTTTGCTGCACTAGCTGCTGCAATATAGTTTGCTCCAGTTGTTGATAAAGAAACGCACTTCTGACGCTCAGAACACCAGCTTATTATACCTTTATCTACCATAAAAAGGAAACCTGAGGTAGATCTTCGAGTTTGCACATCACCTGCATAGTCAGCATCACTGTAACCACGCAGTTTAAGTTTGCTGTTACTCTGGTAGCAGATTCCTATGCCAGTCGTGCCATTTAAATATTTGATTATCCTTTTGACTGCATTAATGTGAGCTGTTGCTGGCTTCTCAAGATATCGACTTACGTTAGATACAGCAAAAGCTATATCTGGTCTTGTAGCTACTGCTAAATACATAAGACTGCCAACCGATTCCCTATATGGAAAATTGAATTCTGCATCAGATAAAAAATTACTCAAATTGCTTGCGCTGTCTGCAGGTGTAGCTACAATAGGAGAATTTTGAA